TATATATATATATATATATATATATATATATATATATATATATATATCTTGTTCAAATTTTCAATCGTTAATAAAATACTTGCTATTCATCCATTTAAGTTCAAATATTTTTTTAAAAACTTGTAGTGGATGACACTTGATGTAAATACAGTTTTTCAAATATTAATTCATTCATTAAATTAAAAAGGAATCAATAGTAACAACAACAAAAAATAGTCCAACAGCATATATGGATAGGAAAATCGTTCGTTGTGTCCCTGTAGCGCAATGAACAGGGTGTTGGACTTGTAATCCAAAGGTCGTGGATATCAATCCCACCTGAGATGGCTTAATTTCAGAGAATGTGATTTCTTTTTTACTATATTATTTTATTGGAGTAATTTAATTTAATTAAAGAATAATAGTAACAAAAAATAATCCAACACCATATATAGATAGGAAAATTGCAAGGAAAATCGTTTTCTATTTTGTCACTTAAATATTGAGATTCTGTCACATGTGTATACAAATTTGTATTAATTGTTAATTGTTTAATACAAAGTAACTAAAATAAAATTTTTCTTTGTTGACCTAGTAGGAATTGACTTAGAAATTTTTTTTATATATTACTTCTTTATATATATTTACATATAAATTTGTTTTAAGAATATTATTACAATAAAAAATTATTTAAATGCAAGCTTTTGAAAAAAAAATTAAGACACAGAATGACAAATTCACAAAACTTTCTTCTTTTATGAAAATTGTTCAATAATAATAACATTTTGAATGTATGTAACTAGAGCTTCTACACCAAGGCTGAATTAGGTCTTATGAAAAATTCTGTTATTTTCAGAATTACGATCAATTAAAATAATAACCATTGTTCAATTCTTACTATTAACTCACACTCTCTATATATTTATTTGTTTGTTTGTTTTTGCTTATTTATTTATTTATTTATCTCGGCGGAATTTTCAATCGTTAATAAAATACATTTTAAAGCGCACAATTGAGCTGAAATTTTGTGTACATGATCATTTTGGATGATAATACAATAATTTAATTATAATTAATAAAAATTAATTGATTAAAACTAATTATTTAAAGAATTACAAATACAGCTACGTTGGCATCACTTTTGGCAGCTTAGTGACCTTTTTGGCGACTTGTGTCAAAACTTGAAAAGGTTTTTTCTCACGTTTTAAAGCATTCTGTTGAACTGAAATTTTATATACACGATTGTTTTGGACGACAATACGATACTTTAATGATAATTAATAAAAATTAATCACCACTTAATGTTGTGATTTTGTCATACGTATATACATATTTATATTAATTGTAACTATTTAATAAAAAGTAGCTAAAATAAAAATTTTCTTTGTTGGTCTAAGTAGGAATTGACTTAAAAAATTTTGTTTTATTTTTGTTCAAACTTCTCTACTCTGATGCATTAAAATACGAATAAATCCACTTATAAATTATATATTTCAAAAATCCTAGTTCAAGCTTAGGACAGAAGTTTTAAATAAATGTAGGCAAAATATTATTATTATAGAAACATTTTTCTTAAATAGAGGATGTTTAAAATATATGTCACCCTTTCTTCCTCTTTTTGTAAAAAAAATAATATTTAAGTAACATTTTATTGTAACAATGTTCTTAAAACAATTTTATATGTATATTCTAGTTTAACTGAGACTAAATATCAAAAAAAGTTTATTCATTTATGCTCCTTTATAAAATCTTAGCGCTAAACGTAGAGAGTCACTTTAAAAGAATGATCTATCCAAGAAATATGATAAGAAGTTACTCATATATGTAATAAATAATTGTTGCAAGATTTATCTCACAAAAATTCATGCATTCTTAAATTTTTCTAAAATAATTTAATAGAAGGAGCAAACAAATTTATTATTAAACATCTTTTCTCTGAAAACAAACAAAAAATTTTTTAAAAAAATTTAATTAAATTTTAATATTCAAAAATTTATAAAGAAATACCACCATTTTAGTAATACAATGTGTAAATTAATATTTCACTATTAATATGTAGAAATACATAATTTTCAAGAAATAGTTCTTAAATTTTTCGAAAATACATGACATAAAATTTTTTGAATTAAATAAAAACAAAATTTTTAACTATACAGAAAACAAGGGAACAATTATTGAACTTTCCTTAAAAGTTAGAAATTACGGATATTTAATTCAGAGGTATTATATTGCATGGTAAGAAATCTGCGTATAAAAAGTGTATCAAATTATCACTTTTTAAGTCATCCCAATTTTTGAAAAATCCAAGTATTAATAATCAAAACTCAATTCATATAATCCAAGTATGATTAAAAGATTTTAAACAAAGACCTGATTTTAACAAAGCTATAGCAAAATTGAGGTTACCTTACCCTTCCTTTTGAAGTTCTTAGAATTTCCTTTAAAAAAAATGTGCGAAAAGATATAAAAAAACAATGAATTTCCCAAAATTAAATGCAGAATCAGTAAGAGTCTACTTAGATGCTGTTTTGTTTGCACAAAATTCTTAAATATTTATATACTCCGAAGCACATTGTAATAAGCACTTTGTTTCATATATTTCGTTGTGTATAAGATTTATCATTTTTTACTTCTTTAAAAATATTTTGGTAGCGAAGTACATTATATTTGCTTGAATAAAATATTTCGCTTTCTTGAAAAGAAAAACAAACTGATATTAAAACTTTTTTCGATTAATATGTTTCGTCTAAGAATCTGTAATTGTATTTTAGCATATTCTAAGAATCTAAACAATATTTCTTTAATCTCTAAAAATTAAATTAAAATTAAAATTTTAATTAATTTAAAATTTTATTAATTATTTTAAAATTAAGCAGCGTTGTTTACATTTTACTCCAGTGTTTTATACTGTAGTTCAATTCAAATATGTTTTCATTTTGAACATTTTTTAATTGATCATTTAAATTATACAGTAATTAAAAATACAGTTAAAAATTCTCTTTTCCATGGTATTATCGTCTGCTTTAATTCAATAATTTATTTAACTCTAATTAACTTGATTACTTAATTTATTTGCTGATATGTAATCTCCTGTTGCTAAAGTTATGATGGTTAAGTTGGCATCTTTTGTAGTTATTCTAAATTTATTTTAGTTCAGTCGGAGAAAAGAATTGTAATGCGTAATCGAAGTTGGAGATGAACTTAATATGTATTAAATTTTTGTATATTTTCAGATATTAACTTTCATCTGGAGTTGTTTTTTTTTTTGATCATTTGAGTGGTTATAATATTAGTATTGTTGTATATAACTTCGATACAGTACGATATTTCTTTATCACAATTGTTGAGAGAATAAAAATACAAATGTTAACGTAAGCCGTTAAAATTCGAAGTTCCCGAAAATGGACAACCGCACAATCCGCTCACTTCAGTTCTTTTTCATGAATAATCTTTATGAATCTTCTCAATGGACGTTAAATTGTAATTTGATATTTCAATTTCTGCCTTGCAGTAGTGTTGGGATATAATAACTAGAGATAAAATACAGACTTTCTATATATTTAAAAATCTCAAATAAATAATCTTCCAACACGTTTAAAATATCTTTTTCATAAATCACTTACACAATCAGATGGCAACAAAACGCAACTAATTTTATGCAACTTTTGGATAGAATGCATAATGTAAAATCTTCTGTCAAAATATTTAACATTTTTAAACATTTGCAAAAAAAAAATTCCTTACCATCTTAGAAGTACACTTAAATCTATAGAAATAATTCGAATCCATAAAATAATTGCTTCTAAAAATTGCAATTTTTTTAATAAGAGTCAACAGTAATGCAGTCAGTTTCATCAAGCTTAGATGAAAGAAACAACGTGATATTTATAAACAAGCTACAATATCCATAATTTGTCGGAGAAAATGTTTGCTGAGAAAATATTTATTGACATTTGGGAGATTATTTGTAAGATGATATGAAGAGAAACATTATGATAAAAATATAATCTACAGCACCATAAAAAGTATAATTTATTTCACTGGTTGTGCAACATTTTATCGGAAATTGATTCGTAACACATGTCATGTTTTAAGCATTCCTTGGTTTTGTGACTTTCTTTTTAAAAAAAATTCCATCGTTTATTGAAATTCCAAGTAAAAAGAAATTTGAACACTCATTTTTCTGTTATATCTTAGAAGAATTTTCGACATTCGAGAATAGAGATTTTGAGATATCTGATGCAACACAAAGTACGTGAAGTTCTTTGGACAAGCTTATTCAATTCAGTCAAGCAATAAATTGAATGAAATTTATTAAGGAATGGAAACATTTTATGCAATAGATATCGTTTTCACTTATAAACTAGTGTAACCCGTACATTAGCAGAACAATAATAAATAAAATAAAATACATGTGAAGTATTTTTCATATTGGTGCAGTAATTACACATATATTTATTGTTAACCATCCAAAATACAACATCAAGAAGGACAAGGGATAACAAGACCAAACTTATTTGAGAGATAGCCCCCAGTGCAAAGATAACATGATTGAGACAACAGCCGTCTGCGAGGTGAGAAAAAAAATTGATATGATATCGGTATTGAGTTTTGTCATCATGACTGGCAATAATCCCTGCTAACTACTTTGGAATTTAATGAAAGAAGCTTTGAATATCTTGTTGGGACATGGCAACCCATACTGCCTCCACACTTTGGCAAAGTTTCTCTGTTGGTGAATGCCAGACCAGTCATTCTCCAATTATCTACCAAATCTGTTCCAAGGGTGACAGATTAGGAGAGCAAGCAAGTTGAGGTAGCAATACAATCTGATGTACGAAGAAGTCTTGAATATTTTGTGACACGGGTAGTCTTAGCATTGTCTTGTTGGAATGTAACCGCAGGCAAGCTCTAAAGGCGAGGGAGACTACAGGTTGCAAAACCTCGAAGATATGGCGCGTACTGGCTGATTATTGTATCGTAAATGTGTTCAAGGGTCTACAGGAGCAAAAACAATATCAAGCTTTTGCAACAACCTCCCCTTTAGGTCAGAGATTAATTATTTTTATTCTTGTCCTTTGTTGTTTTTGACTTCCAGAAGAACGGACCACCACGTACTGTCCTCTCAAGGAAGAAAATAAATTTTGCTGCCTAAGTAATACCTAGAAAAGTATGTTTTTATAATTATTACTGCAATTTATATATATATCCTGTTATACTGAGAGTCATTTGGAGCGTTTTTCCCGATGAAGCTATCAGCAATCTCTCTTTGACGAATGCGTGTAATGGTTTATATCAGTAGAGTTGGAATTTACTGGGAATATCTTAGACTCTTCACGAAGTAAAT